AGCCTGTAAGACCCCAGACGCTATATCTTTTGATAGCCGGGCACCATCAGCTTTCTTCACCACATTTGCTTATGCACACGTCTGTCTTCAGCGATCATGTTGGGAAGGTAGGTATCATGAAATGACCGTTTAGCTGAGGCGTGGACGGTTGGAGAGGGGTAGGCCACACCTGGGGAGGTACATAAACGCCTTAAGACATTTGTGTTAGTCTGGCTAGACAAGAGAAACAAATTCATGGATACTCATATGTGTATAAGAAAGAGCTTTATATAAAAGAGCAATTGTATATTGAGAAACATCCCAACCTAGTCCAGATCAAGTCCAATATTAGCCCATATGTCCAATACCAGTACATAAATTCCCCTTTAGACCCACAAAACCATGCAACAATTCCAAATGCAAGAATATCACAGGCCAGTGGGTGGAAAGTCTTCTGGATCCAGTGGTGGTAGAAGCATCTCAACACTGGTGTGGGTCTCCACGTGGCTCTTCCAGTTCTGGGGCTCTGGCTGCCATCAGCATGGCTCCATGTGGCTTGTCAATAGGAATGGTCTTTCAGAGACAAACCAGAGAGTGTGTGTGTCCCACCAGTAAGCTACTTATCTCCATAGCACCTCCAAATGAGGTCAACAAGCTACGACCTGATTGACAGGCTAGACTCCACCCCTTCACAAATTGACAGATTATGCAAGTGCCACAACGTCCTTTAAATTTTGAACCAAAATTAGCCTTTTGGTTAAAAAAAATAATTATCACTCATGAGTACTGAGCTCATTTAAAAAATCATTTTACACTGTCCACTGTCTCCCTTCACCCACGTTTCTGTTGTTCATCTCCCTGGGGAGTGGGTTATATGTCGATCATTGTAGACAGTTCCCCATTTCTCCCCCTTCTACCCTCCTCTTCCCCCACCATCATAATATCACTACTCCCATTACTGTTCCTGAGGGCTTTATCTGTCCTGGGTTCTGTGTGTCGAGAGCTCTTATCTGCACCATTGTACATGTTCGGGTCTAGCCATATTTTAAGGTAGAACTGTGGTCATGATAGTGGGCAGGGAGGAAACATTAAAGAACTAGAGGAATTTTGTGTGTATCAAAAGTATTTTTATTTAATTAATATAAAATTAGCATTTATATGTAAAGGAAAAAAATCTTTAAGTAGCCTATCAATACCAAGTTTTTTGAGACTTCTGACAAAGAATAAGGGAAAGAGAGAACTTAAGATAGAGCCTTGCGAAACAAATGATCCAAAATCAGTGGCAAGGAGGGTGTAAGAGGCCTGGTAGGGCTTGATCAAGGGCAATGTAACCAAGAAGAATTACTGAAACGCAAATGAAGGCTGAGCATGGTAGTGGGACAAGAGGAAAGTAGAAGGAAATAGAGGAAAGAACTGGGAGGCAAAGGGCATTTATAGAGGTCTAAATACAGGCATGTACATATGTAAGTATATTTATGATGATAGGGAAATAGATCGATGTGCATATATTTATAGGTTTAGTATTAAGGTAGCAGGTGGACATTGGGCATCCACTCAAGTAGTCCCTCAACGCAAGA